TTCTGCTTTAATGACCTATCTTGTTAAAGACCAGCCTAACACTACGAAATTACTTAAGTGGCAAGCTAAATCACTTCCAGCTAGCTATTTCTAGTTGGTATCGCATTAATATTGGTAAATCCTAACTCTTTTTCGTTATAGACTTCTATATAGGTGTAACTAGAGCCCGAATTGGTACCTTTAGACATACAGGAGTAGGTTATATTCTCTATACCGAGTAGCCTTCTATAGTCATTCCACTGGTGCCAGAGGTGCTTCTAATTTTAGTTAAGGCATGATCCTTTACCACAGCCTATAGTTGTGTATTACTGCTTCTCTCACTACTCCAGTTTTAGTAGTATAGTATCACTCTTCCAAGCAAGTACCCAACACCATTCTACATTAGAACTTATGCGCATGATTCATTGATCATCCTTCCAAGCAAGTACCCACAAGTTGAATATAGGGATATTGGTATTGCCGAATATGGAGGTGATAGGATGTTGGTATTGCCTCTGAGTCACCCCAACTGGAAAACTTACATGCACGATCTTTTACTGTCTAGACCTTCTGTAACACCGCTATCACACGTAATATCTTCACTCTACAACCTGGTCTTCTTCTGGGAATTTCTTATTCTGGTTTTGTACTACACTTAGACTTTCTACAAGGCTTCGTATCCGATTATAGCGCCCGTAGATTTCAGAAACAAATTATTTTTGCCTCTAGCCTAACTCGAACCATTAACTTTGTTTGTGGGAGTTTGGGAGCTTAACCAATAAGCTATGGGACCCAAAACCGAAAGCTAGCATTTTTCTATTCATCAAAAATAAAAGTATTACCAATTTTATACTTTTTAGCTTCTACAATATGTTGCTGTTGCAATTCTTCACTATGATGAAAATATATGTCCACTAAGAGTATATCAACCAGGCAATGTTAAATTTGGGTTTAAAAATTTAAAAAGTGAGACAATCTCAAGATTTTCAGTTTATCTAAATACCTAACCATTGCTAATTGTAGATTTTAAAAGATGATATTCAAAACTATATATTCAGCTAAATTTAAGTCTCGAATAAAATAATTATCTATTAAATTTTTTGATGACTGTGACTTTGTATATCATATAGATATTGTAGTTGTTTTAACAGTTTGCTCAGAAGATGTAGAAGTAAAACTTAAATTTGTTGATAAACTTGCAACTGAATTTGAAGACAAAGTTGTATTTACTTATTGACTTTTATTATCTAATTCATAAAAAATTTCATCTTTTTCTTTTTGGGTATATTTTTCAAAAAAATTTAGACATTTCTTTAAATATATTTTAGTACAAGCTTTCGTATTAGTAAAGATAGATTTTTCAATTGCAACATCTCTTTCTAATTTATCTATACAAAGTTTACAAACAGCAGTTTTGTTAACTTATTTACACATGTTTGTAAAACTTCTACATATAGTATGAGTCTATAGGAGTTTTGCTACCAGAATATTATTTCATAGTAAGATATTAACCAAACTTTAAATTAGGTTTATACTACAAACTTTAATTATTTATAAAACTCCTGATTTTCTAAAAAAAATAATTTTTTTATTGATGAATAGAACAATAGAATCTATTCTATTGATTCTATTGTTCTATTGATACCAATAGAATTTTCTATTGCCAACACAATAGAATTTTTAATAAAATCAATAGAACTAATAGAAATTTTATTCTATTGATTATTCTAATTTTTATTTAATAAATCAATAGAATAACAATACTGAATATATTTATGTTTATTGTATTTATAGCAGAGATTATTAAAGCAGTCTCTATACAAGTAATTCTATTTACATGTTCAACAAAAGATATGTTGTAGGCTTGTATAGAACAATAAACTGCAATATGTCTAATTCTTTGGCAACAGTTATAGTAGTTGATAGAGCATTTAGCAAATAGATAAGCAGGTAAGCTACAGTTTCCACATACTTGAGGAAGATTTTAAGTATAATGATGATGAGGTTGGTAAGTAGTCCAATTGTTAGAGTTGTTTGTATCTAAATTAGTAGTCTCAAATATATAAGCTTCTTTAGAGTTAGGTACTCCTGTTTATAAAGTTTTAATTTGTCTAATTTGATAACAGTAGGTTGAGCAAAAAGTAGTTAGTTATTTTTGTAAATAGTAAGAGTATCCCTTAAACTGTCTAGCAGGCAAATTTGCCTGCTTAAATTATTTTTAAAAAGTTTTTTTGAGTTTTCTTAAAAT